GAGAGAGAGAGAGAGAGAGAGAGAGAGAGAGATTATCCCTCTTTCTGGAACAGCAAATCCAGATATCGCTTTGGAGTCTGGACTAACACCCCCTCTGGTTTCAGCAAGTTCGAACGGATATGGTATGACTTACAATCTGGAAAGAGAGGTGCGGCATCAAACTCGACAAGACAAGGAATTGTCGAGAGAAGGTTTGGGCAGCAACCGCAAACCTCATTGAGGCAGAAACCCTGTGTAAATGGTGCAAGGTACAAGTGTTAATTCAGGCTGACCCAGAGTCAGAAAGGCGACAGAAAGCGAAGTACCAGGGTACATGGCTGGCGAAAGGCAAGGTGGCTACGGTACAAGGAATGGGCACCAAGTGGGAAGACTGGCACTACTCGGACACCATCATTTCAGGGTCCCATTTGGACATAAGATATAGGCTGCGGTAATCTATGAAAAGCACAATTTACGAACCGAGCTATGGAGACTGCCGAACTCACTATCGCACGTACGGCTCTAACATCATACAGACTTTGGGGTTTAGGGTCTGATGATAGGAGTGAGAATGGAATGGCAAGCTGACAGTCAATCCATCCTCCAGTGTAGGAGCAATCAATGTTGTTCAGGGTCCTTCGGCCAAATGGAAGGAAGCGTGAGTGTGTACATGTTGTAAAGATATGACTCGCCGATTCGTTGCATTGGAGCCAGGACCTTAAACCACCAGTACTTGGCCCAGCTATCGGCCGCGGAAAAAAATAGAGTAGAAACTTTTCTAGTCAGATGAATTTGGGTGCTCCTGTAGTGGGCCCGTACGTTTCCTGAAATAGTGGCTTGTATACGGGGCACAACTTTAGGAAGTATTGGTGGTTGAAGGACCTGTTCTCTGGGGGAAAAAAGGGGGGGGTGTAAAAAAAGGAACTTTGACTAATGCTAGCCACAAGGGAAACCCAGCCAGGGCCATAAGGACCTGTTTTTTTGGGGGGGGGAAAGGAAAAGGAAAGAGAAGAAAAAGTGAAATATGAAGTTTGTAAACGGTCTGCTTTGGTGCAGAAAGGCGATAACCAGTCAAGTCAAAATGCACCTGGATATGCAGATGCTGGAGAACCTCAAGTGGACATAGACATGAAGATGACCAGGTGCGTTCTGACTGGGCTCGTTTTGTCCTTTCAAACATGAGCGAGATACTTCTGACTGTTCACTCTAAAACGTAAAAAAAAACAAAAAAACAAAGAAAGCCTGCACTTCCATGGTGTTAGGAGAGTGCCACCGACAAAAAAGAATAAAGTGCGGCAAACCGTGGGCAGGATTAAAGCAGCTGTTTCTTTGCGATAGATGGGAATCCAAGACAAGAAAAAGAAAAAAAAAAAGGCAGCACCGAAGACAGTGACGAATGATAAGAAGGTGACTGACTCATGCACACCTAGAAATCTTGATTAGTTGGTCAAGGTCACAAATCCCTTTCCTTGTTTGGCAATGATAAGAAATGTGCCTGCTTCGTTGTAGAGTCTTACCTACCCTACATCATGGCTTTTTCTTTTTTTTTTTTGACACATCTTAAAGAGATCTCATTTCTACCCTACATCATGGCTTCTTCCTCACTTGGCGGAAAAACCTGATAAGCTTTAGTGTGGTTTTCTTCAGGCAATAACTGAACAGAGGCGTCAAGAAAAGGCAGAACAGGAAATGCGTGAGTGCACATTCAAGCCCTCCATCAACACCACCCCTGTTCGCAAGGTGACCTCCGGTGGGGAGGCAGTGCAGAGTCAAAGAGAGTCACCAGTACACGCGGGAGCCGGTGGGGGTCCAGCTACTGTAGTTGTCAAGGATGACAGAACTGTCTCTGAGGAGGCCGGTGGAGGCTGCGGAAATGAGGCAGATCAAATTAAAGAGCCAGGATCAGTAGCTTCCCAACGCCCGTCTTCTAGGGTTAAAAAGCGGGCGAAGGTAGGTTCCATGAAACCTTGAGAAATGTTCCTGGTCATAACAACTGTAAAAAGTTATTTAAAGCTGCAACTTGCTTACCGTGTCCAGCTTAACTCTGCTCCTGTTGCTTGCCATGTACGCAATGTGTTTACTCAACTTTAGTGTGATAAGTAAAGCCTTGCACATTGAGTTCATTCACAGTTGGTTACAACTTATCTCTGCTGCTTTTGACATGCCCTACGCTATGTGCTATAAACCACCAGTAGGGATGGGCTTTTCTGAAGCTCCTGGTTTATGACAGGCTCTGTATGGAGTATTATGGACCATGGTTGTTAACCGGACGTCCGGATCCCGATCCAGACAGTCCGGGACTGCATGTCCGGGTCCGGGGTCCGGTTTGGAAGGTCCGGTTGGACCCCATTTTGAAGAAATCCCGAATTTTTTGGGGGGATCCCCAGGCGATTTCCCTGTGCCTGAGGCGACCCCCGAAAATTGTTGCCGTAGTTTTTTTTTGGGCAGTCGGACCAACCGGACCGGCCCTGAAGGGGCTGCAAATGCCAAAGTCCAGCGGGCAGTACGACGGCGGAGGTTTGAGGTATTCGCTGCCCACCGTCGGGAGAAGGCCATTTTCGAATCTTCTGCAGCAGCTGCAACAACCGCAGCAGCCCGGTTCTGAAAAGAAAACAAAAGTAATAAGTTCAAAAAAACACAAACAAGTTTAACATACAAAGAAAGAGAAGAAGATAACACACACACACACAGACACACACACACACAGACACACACACACACACACACACACACGCACACACACACACACACTGCTGTAGCTGCAGACACTGCTGGATCTGCAACAGCAGCTGCAGCAGCTTCTGCAGCTACTGCAGAGTGTGTGTGTGTGTGTGTGTGTGTGTGTGTGTGGGTAAGTGTGTGTGTGTGTCTGCTGTTTTTTTTTTTTTTTTTTTTTTTTTTTGATCAGGACATCCAGACTTGCCCACCCCCAACAGGACCGTCTGTGTCGGCATGTCTGGTTGTCCGGATTGATGTCGAGTTAACCAGACGTCCAGATTAATCCACACACGGGTACGGACCTCATGTCTGGTGTCTGGATGTCCGGGTCTGGGGCAACCATGGTATGGACACACGTGGTTGACGGGGGGTGTTATTTTCGGCGAATTTTGCACTGAGACTATCATATTGCCCTGATGTTTTGGCTTTTTTGAAGTTTTTTCTTGATTTGTCTTTTGTGTGATATGTATGTGCTTTGAGTGCAGCAGGATCAAAGATAGAACATATCAGTTCCCGTTTTTCAATATTTCTGAGGTACACCGTCCATGTAATGTGGAACGGTGTCCAGGGTACCGGTTCCTTGGGACCACATGCTCCACCACTTGTGCAGGCCCCCGTCGATTCCTTTGAGTTTCAGTATCTTGCAAGTGTACTCCCCAGGACTCGGCCCTTAAATCACCAGTCTCCCAAGAGTCCCGCCCTGTTACAAGTGGACTGTGCAAGGAATCTCTCCAAAAACTCAAAACTGACCGTCTATCAGGTTGTCGATCCCGTCGTGATGGTTTGTTCAGAGCCTCCTTAGCAACTCCTTTTCAGCCGGGGGGCTTGAAAGAGACAGCCCATTGAGCTTCCCCATTGAGACATTGAGCTTCCCCAGTGTACTCTACACCCTGCTCCTTAGTCTGCTGTTGTCTTCTTCTTCTTCTTCTTCTTCTTCTTTTTCAACTTCTGTTGTGCTTAGATCTGCTGTTGTTTTGTAGCAGCTCCATGTGAAAGGGCCTAGTTGCACTATTCTCCATACGGCAAGTTTGGCGATTAGGCGCGTGGTTGCACTTACTCGCCAAACTTGGCGAATGCAAAATGTGTCAGACGGCTCGCCACACCGTCGACACAAGTTGTGGAGAGTGAATTCGGTTTCCCCACCTGTGCACGGCGGTTTGTGGAGGGTGGCCCTCGGACCTCTCCACAAAACGACTTTCTGGAGAGTGCAGGGCTTCACGAGTCGACATCAGGTAAACAATTTTTTTAAACTTTTCTATAGAAGAAATATAGTGGCGAGTAAGTGCAACCAGGCCTCGAGTTCGACACGATTCTCATATTTTTCACTCTCCACTCATCCGCCATGAAATGTGACGGATGGCGAGTAGTGCAACTAGGCCCAAAGAATATTGGTCAGCTGGCTCAGCTCAGTGAAATCCGTATCTTTTTTTTTTGTTTTCCTTGTTTTTTTTTTTAACAACCCGAGTGGATGCTAGGGGTGCTGATAAGAGCAGGGACCACTAGCACTCCCCGCTATTGGTGGGGAGCAGCACCTGCTGGAAAGCAGGTCCAGCGTCCAGAAATCCGTATCGGTATCTACTATCTAGTATCTACTATCAACATTTTAAAAATTGCTAACTCTGGGGTTCGTTTGACACTCCTTGGGGCGTCCTCGGGGCCGAAGGAAGTTTCCTTGGGGGTTTTCAAGGAAATTTCCGCCATCGTTCCACCTGTCCTCGGGGACGTCGCCCGAGGACATTTCCTTCGAACGATGTCAGACAAGAAAAAAGAAAAGRAAAAAAAAAACAAATGTGTTTGAGGCCTTCAGCCAATAGGGTGCCGCCACAATCCAGATTCTCGGTTGTAATGTCTCTCTACCCATGTGCCCGCTCCTCTCCATGAAACACAGATTCCTTTTGCCCAAGGGAAATGGCTGCGGAATCCTCGGAGCCCAAGGAATTTCCTTCGGAGTGTTTTCACTTTTTTTTTGCCGACCGCATCCCCGAGGATAGGTGGAACGAACAATTCCTCGGGGACTTTACGCGCCCAAAGAGTGTCGAACGAGCCCCTCTGCCTTGGCCATCCATGGTCCCAACTCGGGACCAAGGACTGTCGTATTTTATCCGTGCAGCTAGGACCACAGCAGGGTCTTACACTTAAACCGCAAGTACACCGCCCACTGTGCCCAGGCAAACTTGAGAATGGAAAATGAGTCTTTCCGAAAAGTTCGGATGAGCAGTACTACTGGACCAAAATGGCTGGTGGTGCCAGCCAAAAAGGGGGAAAAAAACGTTGCGCTGGTGCTTCGGCAAATGTTGGCGGGCACTTCTTTTCTGCCTTGGCAAAAAAAAGAGGCTTGGATATGCTGGTGGTTTAAACCACGGTTTAAGACTTGCAGGTGGGATGGTTGTGGGTGGTTGCTGGGCTCTTTCTAGGAACTGCATAGCACTTTGAAGCTTTGGGGCGGAACATCATCTTTCAAATTCTTTCAATTCACCTTCACTACCTACCTACCTACCTACATACCTACCTACCTACCTACCTACCTACCTACCACTACTCCTAAGGCTTATACGGGAGACCCCTGCAAACATAGCTTTGTTGTCTCCCTCCAGCCATCAGAGGGGCCTCTGCTGAATATTCTTTGGGTGCAGCCTTGTCGCACAGAAATCGTCTGTTTGTGGGAAAGGCTGCGCCGTATGGCCTACTAACCTGCTAGCCGTCCACGACATGGGCACCGTCATCATGTGGCACCACCAGAAATCATGGGATAATGGATTTCACTGAGGTACAGAAAACACTCGTCACATTATGAATTACATAGCACAGAGAATAAGTATTGGTGTCCATCAGCAAGAGGCTCACACATTGCCGTTCTCGCCTATCTTATCTCAGGTAATGTTCTTTGTCACACAAAGATCACATCGAGTCAGCGAGGCATAATGAATTTTGTCAAACAGAACGGTGGGACAGCAGGCCATCAGGCATCTCTCAAATTGCATAGGACTATGACAATTTGTGGCGAGAAACGGTGTAGTCCCACTGCTGGTCCCATGAAATCCAACACTGCAACAGATTCTTACCTCTATGGAATTCGGCATTGCTGTGGTTCTCTGTACAGCTGTGAAAAACAGAGGCACAATGGGATTTCCGAGATGCCCATGCATGGTGGCTGGGCATTCAGCAGACTGACAATAATAATAATAATAATAATAATAATAATAATAATAATAATAATAATAATAATAATAGGCCACCAGAGTGGCCGGGGAGCACTTGCCCGGCCAGGGCAAAATTTATTATTATTATTTTTTAATAATTTTAATAAAATTAAAAACTATTAATTATTTTTCTGCATAAGGCTATAAGCAGCATAACTGTTTTTCTTTTTTTTTTTTTGCTGGGACCTTCTTTGGTCCTTGCACGGCCAGGCCGCCTGGGCAAACAAGGTGACCTGGGCAGCTTGGCTGGCAGCCTAAAAATAATAATAAAAGAATATACAACCATTACAAACTTACAAAGTCTTTTTATGTGCACACGCCACAGAACATCTGTTGCAACTTGCAGGCAAAGTGGCGGACTTGTAAGCTTTGTTTGTTTGTTTGTTTGTTTGTTAGAAAAGGAAATTGCATTCCAAAGATAGATCGAGGCCGGGGACCTCACAATTCAACCCGGGGTTATCCTGGGAGCCTTACCCAGTTTCGCTTACGAGCCTCCACTCGCGAAAGAATCCTGTCTTTCCCAGAGTTTCTACTCATCCTCTATCCCGATGTATCCTACCCGAAACCATTTCTTAAACCCTAAACCCCTGGGGTCCGGCTCGTGCCTGCTCCTCCATCCCGATGTATCCTACCAGAAACGATTTCTTAACCCCTAAAACCCTGGGGTTCGGCTCGTGCCTGCTCCTCTCAGCTGTAAGGCTGTCAGCTTGGCTTATTTAGCAAGAGCAGGGTAAAGTGTTTGGGGGACCATGAGTGTCTTATGCCTCACTTCTTGAGCCCCGTGATTCCGTAGGTGTCTCAAGCGCTGGCAAGGGACTGTCTTGCGTTTGTTGTGAGTGTCTGAGAGACGATTGCCATACGGTCGTTGTGGAGCTGTTGGCCCGTCAAGGTTCCCCAGGCGAGTCTGAGAGTGTTGCCCGTTATGGTCCCCAACTTGCCATTGCCCAAAACACGAAAGTGAGAAGCATGCAGTGGTTGATCTACTACTATGCACTTCCGGTCAACCAATTGATCAGCAGACGCAGATCCCCAGCAGCCCGGTCCGACTTCGATGAGATCTGCGCCCTCTGCAATGAGGGCACTCCAGAAGACCTCCCACACTGCTTACTGACCTGCCCGTCGGCAGCACAACTAAGACCTAGAAGGGCAAACCTTTGGGAAGCAGCCACATCTGCCCCCCTGCCCGATGACCCGGTGCTCACGCTTGCAGGAAAGGTGGCAATGTACACTCTACCAAAGACTCCCCCCCGTCACACTATGGGAGATTTGGAAGAAGCGCATCACCAAACAGCCCATATCAATGGCCGAAGCTTGGAAGGGCCTGGTACAAAACCTCCTCGCCAAGTACCACTCCGATTGGCTCCGCACAAGGAAGCGTATTCGGGAAGACCCAGCCAAACAACAAGACATCATTATCA